TTTACACATATTTCGATCTTACGAAGCTCTCCGATAGTGAATAGTTTTGGAGCTAAAGCTGTAGCTTCCTGGGTAATCCTGAATAAATAGCGCACGCGACGGTCACAATACGGAGAAAAAACATTAATGCGTTGCGGGGCGAAATGCCAAACCGTTTATCCTAATATTAATCCTAAAATAAGACGAAAACACACCACAAAATAGCGCAAAATTTGCCCCAAATTGATGCCTAAGTCAACGTTTTTGTAATAAAAATTGGTAATAAGTTACCTTCCATTATTGTATTATACAAATTTTCATTTCGGCATTCAAGTTAGAGATATGATATAATACGTGAACCATTTTTATAATGTTTTTTGATGTTCAATCGAGCTTTTTCTAGCCTTTGTGTCTGAAATGGATTGATTCAAGTTCACCATTACATACCATAAAATGGAGGAAAATTCACAACTTTTTCATATCCTGGCTTTAATAGAGCAATTCTTACACACAAAGACGACGATTTAGCGCAAGACCTTTGACTTAGTATATAAACAGTTTCCAGATGGCTGATAGACCTCATGTAAATTACTGGGATTAAGGCTAACGAGGTGGTGCTAGGTCGGTTCTGTTTTTGTTCGTTTTACAACTTTGCTTTGTTACTACAGCTTTAGGTTTGTTAGGTGTATGCTGACTTTTCGACGCTCCAGAAGTGTATGTACCATTATGGAGGTAACTAATTTTGTTCGGCTACTTTACATCAAGTTGTGTAAAGGGACTGAAACCTATGGGCAGGGGGTATATTCACTCGGCTAACACAGACAGTCCCCGAACTCGTAATGAAACTGAAGTGAGGAAAATCGGAATAAAATTATGGCCTTAAGGCCCTTAACCTGGTTCGCACACTTCGGGAGTACTGATTTTTCTATAGTCGGATCCATTAGGTTTGAAAATCCGATTTTTAGGTTAAAGTTAGCTTGTTGGACTTTGCTATATTGCCATCTCAATTCAAAGATCTCGGAGGATTTAGGCTGTCTTGTTTTTGTTCGTTTTACAACTTCGCTTTGGTGCTACATCTTTAAGTTTGTTCATCGACTGGTGAATTTTTCTACAGTCGGATTAATTAAGATTGAAAATTAGACTTTTAGATAAAAGGCGCGGATGGCCTAATTTCTTAAGTTTCTAAATGCCAAATTAGATCGTGACAGCTAGCAGGTCCAGCCGAAAAACACGCGGGGGTTCAAAAGTCTTTTTCTATACGGTCTAAAAAGCGTTTCAAGTTATCAAAAATTCCTATGATTGATACAATTTTTTTTTACATTTCAAGAACCTGGCTGTGCGCGTGCCCTGTATATTCCCAAAAAGGTATTCCCATTCGTCCTAAATTTAAATTAACCAACCATTACGTATTCCAATTCTTACTCGCTTATTTAGATTATTTCTACCCGAGCGTGATCTAGAACGGAGTATTTAATTGTGTTTATGTATGTTTAATAAGAAAAATGGTCCGTGTCAAAATCAAAGTACCATGTTGCTTTGAGCAACAATCATTTTATTCACTCTACCATTTCTAAATATACACATTGCTAAATTTTTTGCCAAACACGCGATGCGTGTGTGGGCGTGCACGCATTTGTATATTTATATATATATCATAATGACGATGGTGGTTAGCCTACACATGTTTATGTTCTTTTCGTATGATATATATTACATATTTTTTCAAGCTCGCTTCGTTTGTATATATATAGTATGTATGTATATACAGTGTGACTCAATAACACAGAACGCAGAATATTTGGAGCATATTCTAAAGCTGGCATGGGCAACTACGGATCGCGGGCCAAATCCGGCCCGTTGGGTGATTCAATCTGGCCCGCCTGATGCTGACACAACCAAACTATAACCAAATTTTGATGGTTTAGCCAAAAAATTGTTGTTTGTTTGGTGAGATCGCAATTAAATTTACGGTATTCTTGCCACAAGGCTTATCGTTTTTTACTTTTGCTTTTGTAACGCTGTAAATATTGTACATACCATGTAACTCAGGGTGGTCAAAACCCAGACCCGCGGGCCACATGTGGCCCGCCGCTTCATTAACTGTGGCCCACGTCACATTCGGAGAGTAATCAATAAATCGCATTTCGTGTTGTTTCGTAATCAAATTAATCAGAAAAATCTTTTGACATATTGTTACATCCCTAATATCACTGAATTGACTAGTGTTATGGCTAGCTGAGGCAAATGGCGAAGTTGAATGATGCGCTTGGCAGTCTAAATTATTATCTGGCCTTCTATCTTTTCGGTCGGGGATATATGATGTCTATATAACAATATGGGCATCATGTAAAACTAAAAATCGTATGCGGATTCTATTAGCCTGGGGTGGCTATGTCTGATAACTATGTGTTTAAACAATAAAAGTGTTTGTTTTGTATTGGACTGTTTACCTATTCTTGGCACTATTGTGGCCCGCGAACAATGAAAAAAAAAATTTGTGGCCCGCGGAGCCGACAATCTTGGACCACCCTGATGTAACTATTAACGTCCTACTTACATGGCCCGCCAGTACAGGCGGGCAAAATCTTTGACCCCTGGTCTAAAAACCTTGCCCATCCCCTTCTAGAAAAAACATAACTTTTGTGAGGACGTGCTAGATTACTAAACTTTTGTGCACAAGCATACACAAACAGAAGTTCAAGTGTTGAATAAACTTTCTTCATTTTAGTTGAAGTACCGGTAATTACGAAATTTAATAATTCGGATAACCAACATCGTTTTGCCTGCTAGCCCAGCCGTATATATACAAGTGATTAACTTTTTCAGACTGTCTGTATTTTATTCTTTGATTCGGTCAATATTTAATATTTATACAAATGCGGGCAGCGTTTCCCTGTTTTAGTAGAGTATAATGTATAGCAGGGGTGAGCAATGTTTTTGAACCAGGGGCCAAAGATTTTGCCCACATAGACTGGCGAACTATGTGAGTGTGACGTAAAAAGCTGTTTGGTTGTTGCAGCATTAGGCGGGCCAAATTGAATCACCCATAATTTGCCCATGTCAGGTGTGTACTATACACACATCTCTTCTCTACCATAGTAATATTGCCATAGTATCTAATCTATATATCTATATAATTAGGAGACAAGTAAACATAAACACACACATAGGCGATATTTATGTTTCATCAGCGTAAGTGGTTTCGATACATATCGTGTGGGCTTAGTTAGTGTATAGATACAATGTACCTGCATACCGTTACCATATCATTACGAATTAATCATTGTCTCATATATTTACTATTTTGAAATTTCCATATGAATTAGAATAGATTAGAACAGGAATTTTAATTTTCAAAGGGGGGAGGGGGGGGGAGATAACGCGGGGATAAAGTAGGTTTTCGTGATTCTTGAAAGTCTTCAAATCGTTTCAAGATATACGAAAAATCGCTATGTATGAAACAGATTTTTTTTCACATTTCCAAAGTTGGGGAGGGGGAGCAGCAAGTTCATCACGTGATAAAATTTAAAATTCCAAACGAATCTTTTCCCTTTTACTATTTAAGTTTCACTTTCTTCGATGGCCTCTGCGTTGGACTAAGGCGTCGCCCAAAAACTGCTTTATATCCAAACCAACATCTGTTAGGCTTGTCATCGAAGGTTTTTTTTTTCGTTAAATATTTCATTTCATGCGAGAGTCTGAACAACAAACAAAACAGGTTATGTGGTTATACGCCATCTATTTCTATCCCCCGTGCTGATTGGAAAATTGGGCATAGCATTGAAGTAATTACTCATAATAAATGCAATGTTTACGTTCACAACTTAGGATAATTCGCTTCAATTGGACTAGAACTTAAAAGTATGCTATCAATTCGGTAGCGTATTTATTAGTAGTGTATTAGATAAATGATTTTAGACTAGGTTAGGATTATCATATTTATCTCTGAAATAGTGAAGCTTATAACACGACTTATGATGGTCTTTCACCGCTTTATCATTTTAAGTACGTTGCGATTTAATCGTTTCATATGCATTGACTTGCGAAAAAAGAGTTATGGTGTCACAATTTCATATTATGATGTAACAATTTTTCATATTATGGCTGAACAAGACAAGAGGCTGAAAAAGCTTTATCCACTGTTTGGGATAAAATTAAAACTATTAGAATTAAGGTATACCCGACACCGAATTGCATGTGCAATTTATCAACATCCAGTTATTATACCATAGACTTCTCTAATATATTATTATCTTTGCTACTTTCTAAACTCTTGCTAAACTCAAATGAGAAAGTGTCACTTTTCGTTTTAGTGTTTAGTAATTGCCTTGGTATGTTAAAAGGACAATTACAGCCATCCAATACGCATCTTATGTACCTGTTTTTTCAAAACTTTTAACCAATTTTGAATAAACAGCCAAACACACTCGTGAAACTGCTAAAAGCAATTGTCCAATTAGTATTTTTTTTACTCGTGAATGTCTTTGAAGGTTGGTTGTTGATTAATTAGGATGAAGTCGTTTTTAAGGCCGATACTTTATCTTTGTCTCGTGGCTGTTTTTTTAATTTATTACTGTCGACTGTATTTTACGTTTCACATTGGTTTTCTGATTGTTTAAAACCATTTTTGATTCGTGTGCCCATTTAAGGTCCCTTCGTTGCTGGCTCACTATATACATAAAAGTCTTGTTTGTGTTTTGAGTTACGTGCACTGACTTTTGTACAGTTAGGATAGCATATAATATGTTTAAGAGGTAACCTATCGGTAACTAGTTGCTACAAAACTACACTCAGATGCAAAGTTTATTTCTTCCCAAAAACATTGTAAAATTTTTCCGGAGGTAATCCTTTTTTGTTCGGAAGCGTTGGTCAGGAGGTACATGTATGAAGTTCAAATGCCACCATTCTATGGAGTCTCTTGAGTCAAAATTATTCATTTTTCACATTCACATTCACATTCAAGGGTCTATTTTGCTGTGAAACTTTCAATTTATGTTTTTTACTTTACTTTTCTATTCCAGGTACAAGCGGAGGTTATGGATATGGAGCTCACGCACAACTTCCAAATGCTCATAACATGAATCCTAATGCACAGGTGCGTTTCTTTTTAACATTACTAATTACTGTATTGAAAACCGTGTCTTTACACATTTTTGCACTCTTTTACTAAAAAACGGACTTTTCCTGGCTTGCTATCATTATCAATAATCCTTTTCCCAATGAAACCAATCAAAGTACTCATTTAGCATATAATTAAATTTAATTAAAATTATTACCACTCTGAGATTATAAAAGTGGGCGAAATTATTTGGACACCCTTGTATATTGGGAGGCAATACAATACGGTGAATACGCTATTTTAAACCTTCGTTGTGACATCATAACTTCAACGAACGTACTGAACTTGCATGTCAGACCGTTTTGTTACGCTTATTCCCCGCTATAAATGACCCCAAATTGTCTCAATATTTGGAAACGAGTTTTCCCGTGTATAGGCAGCCAATACAAAGTCTATTTCGAAGCTTCGACGTGACACTATTACTTCAATGAACGTACTGAACTTGTTAGCAAAACTCTTCGTTATTATGTTTATCCGCGCATTAAATGACCCGTTACGGACAACACACAAAACTTATGTCATTTCAATTTAAATACTTGTTTATGGTTTGTCTCAAACATACTTTGAAGTTTATATCGTCTAAGAACTTGCCGCCATTGTTGAGACTCTCTCACTTCGTTACTCGCGCTGTGATTGATACACGCATACAAAATGGTACAGAATTTGAGAATCGTCTCTGAATCAACATCCCATGAATATATTCGAAATAAAACCTCGGGAAAAAACCAATTGCGTATGGGGTTTAATGTTTTTTTTTTTCAAAAAAATCTCGAACCACTTCACGAATCTGACTCTTAAATGTTTACTTAAAACTGCACAAACGTTTATATTCATTCTAACCCAGAACTGACTATGCATCAAATCGGTGACAGCACATTTTAACCCACGTACATTCGAACCCATACATTTGCACCCGTATATCCGAGGGTCCAATCTATATGTGGGTGCTAAAATCCATGGGTTAGGGTTAGTACGGGTTCAAATATCCGCAGGTACAAATTTCCATAGGTACAATAGTATGTATGCAGGTGCAATTGTCGTGGGTTCAAATGTAATGGAACCCATCAAATCTAATGTAAGTTCAAGCGCCTTTTGCTAATTTACCTTTATGTTTCAAATCATCAGTTCGCGCGGACTATAACGACTACAGCACCAATTATACAATCCGTGATGTGCGCGTCCTGACTGATTGAATAGATGGTTGTGCGAGCACTTTATTTTTGTTGACGTGTTTCTATCTGATAGGTTCTTTCCACAGTCTGGAACATTATCCAAAATGTCTTTATCGTTGAATAATTTGGTATGGGAAAAGTTGATATAATATCAGTCAAATAGAAACCGCGCGGATCAGACTTGCCCACCTAACTATTTCTTACACTGAGTATTGCCCTGTTTCTTACATCCTACCTCTTTACACAGGAAAGCTACGGTGCAGGCTATGCACCTTACTACAACGCACAGGGAGGATACTATCCCACGAATCCCGCGAGTGCAGTTATATCATCTCCCATGACATACCAACTACAGGAACCGCCACCGGGTAAGATAAATAGGAGAAATTACGGCAGTTAATTATGTTTCCCATCTTTCAGTTAGATTGAACATAGTCCTACGCGCATAAATACAGTGTTCATAGAAATTATTTTTTCGGATAGAATTCAGTTTCATTTCATTATGAATATGTTTCAAAATGGTGTAATCGTGTAAACTTTATTACTGAAACTAGAAATCAACTAATTAAGCCGACCAAGAATATATATTTACTGTTTTGAATTTTCTACTCATTTGACTATATCCGTTTCTAAACCGCTCCGCGCTCTCCTGGGGTACTGAAAGCTTAAGAAATACACACCTTGTGATAAGAGCCATTATAAATGCATTTCTTTCCATACAAAACCATTCTGATTCAAATTATTTTTTCTACAGAACACGTTGTTACGTCAGAAAGCCTAAAATACACAGTTGATGACCTCGACAGAAGGAAATCCGGAAGCGGAAATAAAAATCGACCCAAGTCAAATAAATCATCAAATCGAGCGAATTCATCGTCACCCACTCCCGATACACAACTAGAGGTTTGTAAAGTCTTTTTTTGGCGCCCCAGAAGTATGTGTACCAATATGGAGGTAACAAATTTCGTCTATTTTACATCAAGTTTGTGTAAAGAGACTGAAAGCCTATGGACAGGGTATATTCAGGAAATCAATTTTTTGAGGGTGCGTGAAGCTATTAAAAATAAAAATATTTGTCAGATTTGATCTTGCCCGCCGTAATTTAAATATTCACATTTCTTCATTTTGGATATTTACGTTTCATTCACGTATTTTCAACGTGTTTTTTTTTTAATAAAACATACTTTCGTCTTATTATCTGTTATTTGTAGCTTATTGTTAGCTGATTATTTTTGAGGTGGGGCACGAGACTGAAATCTAAAAAGGGGGCGCGGCTCAAAAAGTTTGAAAACCACTGATTAGAACCAATGGCATTGCAGAAACTATTGACTTACAGAAACCATTTTTCAATTGTTGCGTCATTATTATTATTTTTTTTTCAATTTTAGCGTGTCTTCGTCTGGGATCTTGACGAAACCATCATTATATTTCATTCATTGCTGACTTCATCATTCGCTCACAGATATAATAAGGTAAAATACTTTTATGATTGTTTTGATGAGGCTTCTTCTTTATTGATAGACGTATCAGGCCAAAACGATTTGAATAATTATGAATTGTGGATTTGTAGTTCATGTGCAGCTGTGCTATAACATTCTTCCTTGCCATCTACGCTGAATGACGTTGAAATGGCGATTAGGATGCGTCCATGCCTATTTATCCTTAACCTGCCGTCTACATAGAAGCCTAATATATTTTCTTTTTTGTTGGTTTGATAATATAGTCATAGTCAAGTTTATTTTTTCCCATTCAGTAAAAAATAACATACGAAATTAACAAAATACAAAACTGAAAACACATTTTTACTGGGGAAGGGAAGTCGCGGGTAACCAGGAATGGTTATCGAGCAGCGACACCCGACTTGTTATTGTTGTATTAAGACTTGTACTGCTATTTATTGATGGAGGTAGGCGGTCCAAAACAAATTGAATGGTGACCGTACATTTGAACCCACGTACATTTGAACCATGTACATTTGAACCCATGTGTATATCCGCGGGTTCAATCTATATGCGGGTGCTAAAACCCATGGGTTAGGGTTAGTCTGGGTTCAAATATCCGTAGAACAAAAAAAATTCTATAGGTGCAATAGTATGCAGATGCAATTGTCGTGGGTTCAGATGTAATGGAACCGAATTGAATACCATGAATTGTAACACTTGTGCGACTTGAAAATCACACCAGCTGTTTTTGTGATGGACAAATAGATGTATGTGGAGGAGGCCGTTTAAATTGGAATCCATGCATTCATCCCTATTTGTGCTTAGCCTGCTGCATCCATGGCTGCCTAACGGATGCCATTCAAAGTGAAAATGTTTGGTGAAAAATATTTGTAAAAAAAATAGAAAAAAAAACTCTGAAGCCTTGGTTAGATTTATCAAGTATAACACGTTTTATTCTGAAGAGTAAAACGAGTATAAAACGTTGTCCTAATGAAAAATAAGACTTGTAATTTTTTTACTATTTTCAACCAAATTGCCAAAGCACACAAAACGCCATGGGAAAGTGACATCGTTACAGAACCTGGTACAAAATCACTTTCGTTTAAAAATATCTCATGGATGGGCCACGCCTATTTAACGCCCCTATCTACACCCCATGAACGATAGATTATAAATCAGAACATTGTCTAATTCCGGTAGTTTGACACGGGTGAAAGAAAATGCCCCATTTTTCAAACGGGGTGGAATTTTCCCACACCCCCTGTGCAGAGCGTAGATTAATGGCATAGTATCTTTGTTTGTGCAGAACGTAAAGAGCTTAAATCGCGTTAAGGTCAAGCTACCTCTACGATTCGGCTACTTAGCTTTGCCTACCGTAACGTCTTACGAAACGTTGCGCTTTTTGTTAGCTACAGCAGGTGGTAATTAGCTTGTTAATACTAGTTTTTGGTACTCCCGTAGTGTGTATCAGGTCAGGGTTAAGCCATAATTTTATTCCTATTTTCCTTATTTTAGTTCTATTACAAGTTCGGGGACTGTCTGTGTTAGCCAAGTGAATATACCCCCATGCCAACAGGTTCCGTTCCCTTCACACAACTTGATGTAAAATGGCGAACAAAATTAGTTACCTAGTATTGGTACACATACTCCTGAAGCGCTCAAATTCGACACCAGGCCGTGAATTATTTTAATAATATGAAATATTTTCTTGTCCCCGAGTTTGTGTTCCCAAACAATCGAAATTCCTGGATTCGGTTAACTTATTTGAGTAGTGACGCCTCATTAACCGTCATTTCGTAAAATAAGTTTGTTTTTCGTGGATTATCAACACTTAAAACCTCTTTAATCAACCCAAAGCGACCAGAGTTTTTAGAGCGACATAGTGTTTGACGAAATTCAAAATTTTATCGATATAGGATTGAACAGGACTGTAAGAGTGAAACGATTCCTCTAACTTTCTGAAAAACCTTGTTACGTAATTACTAATTAACAAAGCGATAAGAGATGTTAAAACGAATTTTCAAAATGAGTCGATCTTCGATGAAAAAATTATTTTAGGATGAAATCGTCTCCGTTGTCGGTTTGATCAAATTTGCCTAAAACCTCGTCGTTAGCTGACAATTTAATTTACAACGATATCAAATCCAACTTTTTGATTAGATGGCGTAGCGGTTACAGGCTTCGATCTGGAAATGCTGGTGTTGTGGGTTAATTAAAACTAAACGTCTAACACAATGCAAAACAAATTAAATAGGTAATTCCGAATCGAAAGAATTTGATTCTAACAAAAATAGAAGTTCCTCGCGTACCGATGGATACTTTTACAGACGAGTATTGGTAGTGAAAAAATGCTCCATGAAAACACCTTAACACACAACAACATAGAAAAACACCTCGCAATCAGGGCTTGTGAACTTTCTATGACTTCTTTCTTCCAACTAAAATATTGTAGTTTCGACTCATCAGTATCTGTTAGTTCAGAGATTTTCATTCGGTGTGATCCTTATTAGGTAGAAATGATAGAAAGATCTTATGTACTTGCTTTGATCTTATTTTAAACCAAACTTAGACGGATCTCATAGACGCATATAGATAACATCCCACAAATTCCTACATTTTCTAGTTTACCTTTCCAGGCAATTTAATTTTATTTACTTTTCAAATCCTCAAACTAATCCTAAAACACGTTAATGACCGTAACATTTCGTTTCAACGTGGGCAGTCTCGCTCAGAAACAACGAAAGGTCATTGCTAATGAACTAGGAACATACTGTTATAAAGAAAGAAAAAGCAACTTTCATTGCATAGTAAATGTTTAATTTATTTTGTTTTCAAGTGAAATTTGAAGTTATTGATTTCAAAATGAATGTGTTTGGCAATTTCAATAAGACCGAAGAACAATATGGCTGCTCTGATTGTATACTTTACTAATTCACTTCTGCGGTGAAACGAGTCTGCTTTTTTGTAGCCTACGTGTCCAACATCAGACTTCACTTAGTTCTTTTTAACATTTCTGGTGAGAGTCACATGCGAAATACCGAATTTTTTGCTGGCTTTCCTGATGGTCTTTCCATTTTCTACAACTTCCTTCACCACTTGCAGCATTTCTCTTTTTGAAGTTTGATCTCGTAAATTGATCTATACGTCGACGTGGCTGCTTGGTAGAGCTTTGTTCCAAGTCTAAGTGGAAGCGTTGAAAAATAATTGATAACATATATAAGTTCAGACTCCCGTAAATTAAAATTGAGACTGAAATAAGGAAGGAGCACACAAGAAGGGGTGGGAGATGACAAACGTATAACGCTTTAAAGTACTTTAAGTGAGGAAATAATAAAGAGTTATAAAATAGACGAATAGTGAAATTTACCGAGAAAAGTTAGTAACCAATGCGGTAACCGTTGACAACTGACTAAAAATAGCAAGAATTTGAAAATGTTTATAATGTTTAGTAACTCAACCTTTTCGACCTTGGAGCATTTAGCGTCGCTTTCCTGCGATCCGACGAACCGGTATTTTGAGAACGTCAAAATAATATTATTAGACTCGTCTTATATAGGATTATATCTGAAAACCAGATGAAGTTTTCGTATGTATTTCACATAAGGAATATTTAAAGGTTTTGGATATTTCAGCTTTGAACAATTCTTCTCAAAAATTGGAGGAATATTTCGGCGTGTAATATTTCTCTTGCTGAAACGTTGTTGCCCATTCAATCCATACAGGGCACTTTTAGCGGCGCTCCAGAAGTGTCTGTACCAATATGGCGGTAACTAATTTTGTTTTCCTAATTTACATCGAGTTGTGTAAAGGGACTGAAACCTATTCGCCAAAACAGATTCTTCCATTTCTTTTATTTTTTTTGTTAAACGTCCTCACAAAATGACAAAATACCGAAAAAATAGGTTTCGTTTAAAAAATCGTTTAGTGTTTATATTTTGCAAATGTCCCATGACGAAAACTTGAAGTGAAATCGCCGTAAAAGCTGTCAAACATGTTTTGATTTCCGTCTGTTACGAAACAATCATCTTTAAGAAATTGTCATCAACCATTTTTGTTTCGTTATGAGAGTAAGAATTTTTTTTATTTGTTCCCCTATAAAGGATACGGCTCAATCATAGATGGCCAAGCAAGGCCTATCGACTTTTCTAGTCGGTTTAGGCGAGACTGCTGACATGTAGTTCACAAGCGTTTTATATACAGGGTGTTAAAAAGTCCTGTTACAATTTCAATTTTGTTAGGAAGTCAGTTATTCATATATTTCAACTCTCAAGTTTGTTTTATTTTAAAAATGTTTTATCTCATTTAATGCACATTTATATCCACCTTTAGTTGCGTGAAGCACATCAATTTGTTTTACCTATTTAAGAACAATTTTAAGAATATCCTTCACTCGAAATTTATATTCGAAATTTTGACATTATCTCGTTTCACTTGCTTTTTTAGGTTAATCTTCATTAAATTTGAACGATTTAGATTTTCACTTTATGTAAATAGGACGCCAGTTGTTGAATGCCGGTTGATGAAGATATATTTTTCCCAGCAAAAAATCATTTTTCTCAATTGCCTCACAATCCAGTCCATTGTTTGTTAATGAATTACCAATGGTATTTCCTCGTTTCCATGGCGCCAAAACTCTTAATAATGAGGCAACAAACGTAGTAATTTGATATTAAACTCGACCTGACTGTGATGTCATAAAGTCATCTTACTCCAGTTACCAGCTGACAATTTTCACGGTTGTTGCATCATAATGCACCTAATGATGAATTTTAAATTAAGCGTCGTCAAATTGATTTTTAATTTTCGGGAAAATAAATCAAAATTTTCCTTCCGCTTGTGTGAGAATTTATTTTAAAATGTAATAAATTTAAGGCGACAGCACATTTTAGAAAAAGTTTAAAGTCTAAATTATATAGTCCGTGTTAACAATATACAGTTCTCATAAAGTTTCGTCACAATTCGAACTTTGTCATGAAGTAAGTTCTCAATATACCTTAACCAGGTTTTGTTTTATTCGAATCGGTGTTAAACAAGTTTATTTACCTTCATGTAAATACACCTGTAGGGCCAACAATCTATATATGGTATCCATAAATTCCATTTGCAATTTAAAAATTTGACGACCCTATGAACACACTGTACATTACGCTAAACCAAAAAATCAATCACTCAAGATAAAATTGTATTTGAATTGAAATGTCGCCTCATTTCCTTTTATTTGTGAGCCTATAATATTAAAAATACCACCATATACACTTAAAATAATCACGCGCGAAGAAATATGAACAATAGCAAACATAAGCATACATATTTAAAGGTCGTCATAATAGAAAATAAAGGAATGCCCTACTACAAAATTTTCTTTGTTATACTTTTTAAAATAAATAACGAATAGATATTAGATCAGATAGGAACAATGAAATATTTGTGCTCGCTTAGATTCTTAGAATTTCGTATTCGATAAAAGTTTTTTTTTCGTGATGTGTTTTGCACACTCTCTTCATACAAGGCTCGAGACAAAAAAGAACATCAACATATTTATGTCTTATATGCCAATGTAACAGAAATCGTTCATATGAAATAAGCTTATATTATTGTGCATTAAGGTTCGCTGTCTAGTTTCAATGTTGTTGGATAGTCTGAATAAATATTTCAATCTTTCTGACTTTTTTTCGAGCAGAAAAAATATTGACGGAATAAATTTTGACAGAAAAATTTGACTTGTCCTTCCAAATCGAAAAATACTGAATAATTGATTTTAATTGCGGGAAGTGACAAGGTCGTGACCCTCTAGTAGCGACACCCAACTCCACGTATGCGGAAGGGGTTCTCCAATACCAATGAAATTCGATTATCGTATTGTATAATATATTTTTTATTGTGTTTTTTACACACGTTCGCTATGATCAAGGCTTTAGGTTAGCAGTCGCTGTTACAAATCACTATTACGGTATTTATATAGAAAGATTATTTGGAGGTGATACTCAACTTTTGCGCGGAGAAGGCTTGGATATATCGGATGCGTGTAGGATTGAAATTCCTTTATTCGAAATTATTTAATAAATTATCCATGTTTTTTGAATTTTTTGAACTTACATTATCGTTACCTATTCTTACATATCTACATTCACATTTGAATGATTCTAATACTGTATAATGGTCCATACGCGAGGAGATTGTGAGCTTCCCAAAATTGTATATTCAGTGTATATATATGCTGGCTAATTTAGAGACCTCTTAGGAGAAGAGGTGTGCGAACAATACTATCGCTATTCTACTCATAAGTACCATGATTTTAGGTCGAAGTTTATTAAAAACAGCATTTTCAAACACACCTTCTTTATAAAAATCTTTAATTTTGTGCCATTAATTTTCGTAAACTTAATCTATCAGGCAATCAAAATTTCACACAGCGATTTAGCCGAGAAAATCGGCCTTGTCATTCTAAATAAATCGTTTTCAATTATTCTGCGACCACAAAGTAAAATATGCGCATTATGTGGTATTCAATCCTTTTCCGGGGGCTCAAATTTCCACACGGAAAATATTGTGCTGCCCTCGGGCGTGTGGGAATGATAACGCTTGTTATTCTGACAATTTTTGTAATGTCGCGCACTGGTGCGAATTTATTGAATGAGGTGCCGTATTAGGATGACGCATAAACGCACTATTATTGTATTAGCGCATATTTAACTCAGAAGCGCTACTGGGAGATCAAAAATAAAACCCAGGTCACAGGACATATTCTAAATAGGAACCTCCAGAAGTATGCGCACCAAGATGGCGCACAACCTGAACATAGTAGGTGTATACCGGTTATGATTTAGGTTGTGCGACATCTTGGTGCGCATACTACTGCAGCACCCTAAATAGAACATAACTTTTGTCCAAAGCAGCCATAAATTACTGGAACTTTTGGGTACAATTATACACAAACACAAATTCGAGTGCTAAATAAATTTTCCTCATCCCAGTAGAAGTAAATCGAAAATATATGGGTTGGTTTCTGGGTCGTCCTGTATTACTGATACATTGATTCCAAGTTATACCGGACATATATCGTTGGCAATGTGTCGTTGCTGCAGCTGTGAATTCCATTTCCCATTCTAAGTCAGACCATTTGCCTTTTGACTTAGAATTGGAAATGTTCTACCTTCAACTCTTCTATGACGTTATGATATGACGTCACGAGTTTGAGAAACCTGGTTTAACAGTAATAAATACCAAAAATTTATAGACTTAACAGTACATATTTTATTCTATTTTCCCAGGACGCAACTCTCTCCTGCAGCCTTGGTCTACGTATGGAAGAATTGATATTCAATTTAGCCGACACTCATTTGTTTTTCAATGACTTAGAGGTAGGATTCATTTATTTACTATATGATTTCACTATTCGATTTTTCGGATCTATCGAAGTACACGCCCACAAATACTTCCAGTTGGCCTGGCTTAACAATTTAGCATATGTCGTTCCTAACCCCCACCTGACTACATCATTCAAAAATTACGTCAGAGTGATGTAATAAGGCCCGCGAACACAAATAGATGGTCGTCTAGAACGCACAGACGATCATTCGAAATCGGACAATCGTAGCTATACTTTGGCAAGCATTATGACGTGATTGTGACGTCGTAGTGACGTAATTTTTGGACGACGTAGTCAGGTGGGGGTTAGGAATGTTATATGCAAAAATCATTATGCTACGCCCATAGAAGTACTTGTGGGAGCGTACTACGTGACACCCTATTTTCCCAACTGAGCTTCAATACGTATTTGCTAATATATAGAAATAGAATATGATTTCATTCGAGTTACACGACCAGAAATATCGATTTGATAACGCCTATATTTCAAGATAATTTCATCATTTTTTTTTTCAAATAGGAATGCGACCAAGTCCACATTGACGACATTTCTTCTGACGACAACGGTCAAGATCTCACAAATTATAATTTCGGTACCGACGGCTTCAGAGCGACATCTGGCGGCGTTTGTGTGGCCGGTGGAGTTCGAGGTGGAGTCGATTGGATGCGCAAGCTTGCTTTTCGTTACAGACGCATCAAGGAGATTTATGAAAGATATGCTAACAATGTCGGCTCTCTACTGGCACCTCACGACAGAGAAACATGGCTCCAAATAAGACAAGATCTTGAAACAGTCACGGATTCATGGCTCACTTTGGCAATGAAGTCACTAAACATAATTAATCAAAGGTAACATAGTTATTTTTAAATGAAGTACTGGAATTAGATATTGTGGTATTTATTGTATAAAAAATGTATTCATTATGTATTATCCACAACTAAGCCTATGCTTCTGAAACAAATAACTGGATAAAAAATTCCACGCCCGACGTGGGCTTGTAATTAGGCTTGGGCATTTTCGAATACCTGATGAATTCAGAATCGAATCGAATAATTTTTTTTGACTCGAATCGAATCTTGAATACTTTGGAGATATAAAATTGTATGTAACTTTTTCATTGTATTAGATCCTCCAGACACAAAAATTACTGAAAACATAGAGTACATCACGCAGGCAGATTGCTGAGCGTTCAATACACACAATAAAAAAAAACTTTTTTTATCAATAAATCACTACAGAAAAGCGTTATATGTCAGAATTGCGTTGAAAAAATATGGCTTCAATAGAGAATAAATGAGAAATTTAGCTCGACCTTTGGCGGAAAGAAAAGAAAAAGGCGACGATTCGAAATTTTGCTCTGAACCGATTCGAATAATTTCATATTCGATTCGAACTGCACAGCCCTACTTGTAATCAGACGAGAGGCCGTGGTTCGCCATATGATTGAGCCATTTCATCGGCTTTTCACTCTCCCGGGATAAAAGTGATACTGTTCACTTTCCTGACGTAAAAATGTCCTCTTGTGACCTTTTTAACATATCAATTTTTTCTTCAGACCGAACTGCATTAACGTTCTTGCTACGACAACACAACTGGTACCAGCCCTTGCTAAATTAATGCTTTATGGTCTTGGAGGCGTCTTTAACATAGAAAATATCTATTCTGCGACCAAAATTGGAAAGGAAAGCTGCTTCGAGCGAATTATACAAAGGTTCGGGAGAAATGTGACGTATGTAGCGGTGGGCGATGGACGCGATGAAGAACAGGCGGCTAAAGTGGTAAGTAGTGATTGTGACGTATGGCAGTTGGTTATTGCATAGTGTTTGATACTCATAGTGAAGTAATAATACTGGGTGGTCCAAGGTTGTCGGCTCCGCGGGCCACAAATTTATTTTTCCATTGTTCGCGGGCCACAATAGTGCCAAGAATAGGTAAACAGTGCAAAACAAAACAAACAATTTTATTGTACAAACACATAGTTATCAGGCTAATAGAATCCGATTTGGTTTTTAGTTTTCTATGATGCCTTTATTCTTAGCATATATTTCCGACCAAAAAAATAGAAAAAGCCAGATAACTATTTAGACTGCCAAGCACGTCATTCAACTTCGCTAGTTGCCTCAGCTAGCCATAACATTAGTCAATTCAGTGACATTAGTGATGTAACAATATGTCAAAAGATTTTTCTGGTTAATTTGATTACGAAACAACACGATATGCGATTTATCGAACACTCTCCGAATGTGACGCAGGCCACAGATAATGAAGCGGCGGGCCACATGTGGCTCGCGGGCCTGGGTTTGGACCACTCTGTAAATATTATATAGCGATCGGAGACCGCCGACTTATCGATCTTCCAAAAAACGAGAAAAAAATTCAATTAATTAATACTTCGCTAATTAAAAAAAAATAAATATTTAATTAATTAATAATTCGCTAATTATACGACATAATTCTGTCAAAATCAATGGGCTCCTGGTCCGAGATATGATGAATGCACATGCTAAATTTGGAGCAGATTTCACCTCGCTTTCGTGAGATATCGCGTAACATACGAAAGTGTCTAACAGACAGACAAACAGAAAAATATCTATGAACATACTTACCGATCAAGATCAATAAAATAAGTAACAAGGCATAACAAGCAAATAGACGAAATACCTTTTTTCTTTTGTGACCCATTTTCGTTGCACAAAAAATTATTTGAAAATATTACCAAAAAGCGGTGCTTTTTGAGTTGGTATCTAATCATAGTTTGAAGCTTTATTCACCGAAGTGATTTGATAAAATAATTACTGGGGTTTTAAAGCCTACCTTTTCAAGTTTCACTCTTTGCAGAGCCGATGAAAACAATTGTTAAATCTTCATAGCACCCATTTTATAGTTTTTTAAAAATATATTTCTTTCTCTCTCTTTCAGCACAACATGCCCTTCTGGCGAATCTCAACACATTCCGATCTTATGGCTCTTCATCATGCAATGGAACAAGAATATCTGTGAAATTACGATGCAAAATCTATAAACTCGTCGTGAGGTTACGAGACAAACTCGGCTGCGGGCCGTCGAGGAGATTGATGTTACTAGACAATATTAAACAGAGTGGTGCTTGGAGTTTAAATTTTAAAACCAGAAATTGGATGTTAATGAACAAAAATAGATCACACCTTACGGTACATACATTATGACTGAAATCGTCGAAAATTCCTGTTTTCTTGTTTAACGCATTCGCTCTCGATGGGAAAATTGGTATTTTATGTTAATTATACCATTCCTTTCAACTTAACTAAAATTAGTAGGTTTTCGAGTCTCACCAGATGTTGCTCGGAGATTCAATTGTATTTTAATCTTTAGGGTATCCATATAGTAATAAAACAATTTTTAAAATTGCAAAGGAAATTTATCGATACAATATATTATTTTGGCTCTCACAGATTATGAAGTGAAAATACTCAAACAATTACTGATTAAAAAACAACAAACCTGGTTAAGATATATTGATAAGTGACATCATAACAAAATTAAAATTGTAAAGGAACTTTATGGAAACCCTGTTTAATAGCTACAATATTTTTACATCAGGGCAATACGCAAACGTACGACGTTGTTACATATGGAAAGGGCGTATTATTTTGTTTCGTTATGAAAACATGGGTTGGGGTAAAACAATATTCACATATTTTTACCCTCCCAATACTACATTCTCATCCCTCATTCTGCTTTATTTGAAAAAAAATCGCAAAATTAGGATATTTTTTCATTTCTGGGATTATCATATTTTTTTGTGCCATCATCCATAATTGCCACAATTAGTCTTTAACTTTTATTTATTATTTTAATCCATATTTTAGTGTTATTTTTATGCTTTTTGGTGATTTTTTTGTTATTAATTCCATTTTCTCGTACATATATGGGCCAATTTTAGCCTGAAAACTGTTTTTTGAACATTTTGCGACAAAATTCCGCCAAATTTAATAATATTACACAATGAAATTGTCATCGCAACGGTTTCTGAATGAGATTCAGAGCTGTGGAGCCGAAGTCAGGGAATCGTCATTTTCTGTTGCCATCGGGGTTAATATTTTATTTTCCTGAGTCTTCTAAGTTGCTGTCAAATTATTTTTAATCCGTTATGACTTTTTGGAATGGCTCAGAGATGAATTTTGGGACCTGTTTTGCTGTTCGCAGATGGACTCGATCTTTTTAAGTCTGTGTGTCCAAATTTCCATTATTGCACAAGGCGACCAAAGTCGTTTAAAGTTTCAAAATGGGATTCAGGTTTATTGGGGTCACTGGTCCCAAGGTCGAAGTATTTTCAAATTACCTGGAGTAGACGGAGTCTAAATTTACAATTCCGAAATCGAACACTATCCGAGTCAGCATTTCAGTCATTTAAAAGTCTGATTCGAGATTTTATCGATCCTGGTCGGGCGGATTAAGTTTTCTGAAGTGCCGAACGAATCACGTTTGGTTAGCAACTTTCGAAACATTTCGTTATACCCTGGTACATACAATTCTTCTTGAATGAGGTTTTTTTTCGGGCTCTACAATTCTGATTAAATTCACGCAACCAACAGATTATTCTTGTTGCGCGGCTACTTGAAAATTTTCTATCAGGTGTTAAATGCAGACAGACATTCGTTGCTAATGTACGGGTGGTCGCTAGAAAAGCAGAAAACTTTCAGGCCAATTGAGATCATGAATAAAATGCGTGATTACTCAATTTATTTTCGATACGTTTTTATTTCTTTCATGTTCTAATCTAGACAGTAGTGGGATTAAAATTTTTTGTCAGCCGGTTCCATCATGAAAGTCATATTTTTTCTCCGATTCTGTTACAAATGTCATATTTTTTCAGCAAATAAACTGATTAATGCTAACCGGTTCCGTGAGACGGTTCTATAGAACCGGCTGAATCCGGCTTCTATTTGACATTTTGAGCATCTATGATTGTAATATAACATATACCTTCAAAAAACTTTCTAAAAGTTATTTTTTGTGAGAAAAATTAGCTGTTTACAAATACTTTTTTTAGCGACCACCTTGTATTTTGTTTCAAATTGAAATTCATATTCTTTATAGGAATACAAGTTTTCAGGAAATAAAGAATCTTAAACTTATGATTCACGCATTGATGTTTGTTTAGAGCAGGGGTGGGCAACATACAGCACGCGGGCCGGGTCCGGCACGCGGGCGACAAGATTTTGACCGGCCCGCTGACTCTATCCAACCACACTCAGTAATGTGGTCCGACGCATCATTCATGAAAGTTGCCGATCGTTCTACTTCCACGGCACAGCGAGCTGGTGAAATTAACAATTGCCTTAGTGAACAAACAATTGCGTTAGCCTTAGCACACTTGTTAAACAAATAATATAAGGTCAGAGCAGAGAGCGTTGTAAACATTCCCCACTACTGATATCAGTTATATTTGGAATCTAAAAATAAAAAGGTTTTAGAAATTAGATTTTATATTAAGTTTTATTAACCATGGAATATCCCAAGAAACGTAAAGTTGACAGAGAGTGTCGAGCATTTAACGAAGATTGGATACCGAAGTATTTTTTGTAATAATCCGGCCCGCCGAGGGCTTTATTTCTTCACATCTTGCTGGTTTAGAGGGAAGTCCTTTACCAGAATAGGTTTGTCAACAACTCAGTCTTGAATGCCGAAGCTCGATTATAAATTCGTAAGTCAGTGGCGGGGCGTAAGGGGCGCTCCAGACGTGTCTATACCAATATGTTATATTATTTAAAGAACCGATACCCGGGGAAATGGTAAAATTACATAACCAAGGAAAAGAGAATGTGCTAATACTAATGACTAAACCTCACTCACAACATGACGTAAAATAATTTTATGAATCAATAAAATATATGAGGGTTTCCCTGGTACACATATTACAGGAGTACCGTGTAAGGTGGGCATTTTTAATTTGTGAAGTGATGTCTCAGTTGTTCAAAATGTCACAGAACCGGGCCAATGGCGTCGAGAAGCGTGCCACCGCTGGTCAGCAATGACCACACCGTTTAAGAATGAAAGAGGTGACGACGACGTTTTGTAAGTACGTACTTTCGTACAGAATCAGCGCAGGCTACTTTTGATGTCAGATTTACACGATTCATTATTCGACTACTGCGATTAAAAACAAGGGTTATCGTAGCCTATACCGATGAATATGTTTTCATGCAAATATTATGGCAGCGGACATTAATAAAAAGCCTTTAGTTAGAACTTGTCGGCGACTGAATATAATGTAGTGGAAGTCGATTGATCACTCAGGAGCAAATGTTTGAATTTTAAAAACTTCTTCGTAAAGAAGAAAGGTTGTTGTTATTCATGTGTCTACAATAGACTAAATACGGAGCGGTCAACTTACGAGAAAATGTTCTAGGTTATTTCTCACCTCCGACTTGTTTTTAAGGGACGAAATTCCTTCTATCATGCCACCACCCACAGTTTTATTTCTCTGAATTACATTCTCATTACACTTCACTACTGTAGCTCAATCATGCAAAATTATATTTTCGCAAAAGCGCTGGCGACACCAGTCTTTCAAACGCAATCAAATGTCTCAACCCGGATTTTTTGGTTATAATATATTATATATATATATATATATAGTATAGGATTCACATATTTATCCCGGGGGAGAATGAGCCTATAAGACGACTTCATCATATGTCAAACCACGGCCTCTCGTCCGGTTACCAGTCCATGTTGGGCATGGTGGCAGTAACCAGTTATTTATTTTCAGATTCATGGACTTTGTAAAACGGAAATGTTGTTTAAAGATGATTTGCAGTTCGCGTCTAATTGTACCAGGATCTCAATTTAAAGTTGTTGTTTTTTCAAATAAAATAGACCTGAATGAATGTGGTTTGATTGCTCGTTTTGTTTGTTCTATTTGGAACGTTTCGCGACCGCAGCAGAGTAGATTGCACTGCTATCGAGGACTCGCGTTCTTTTGCGGCAGTTCGAAATTTACGCAGAGGGTGCCATGTCAATGTAGCTCACGATGTGACATATATATTGAAACACTTTTGTTGAAGTGGCGTGAAGCTAATCAAATATATTTGTTAGAATTTTAATCTTCCCTGCCTTGTTTTGGACATTTACATTTCTTTATTGTTCAGAGATTGCGATTTCATTCTCGTATTTTCAACGTGTTTTTTGAATAAAACATACTTTCGTCTTACTATATATATATTTATATGTTATTTGAGGTGGACGCGAGACTCGACAAATTCTGAAAAGGGGGCGTGGCTTAATAAGTTTGGGAACCACTGTTCTAAAATAAAGAAACCAGTTGCTACAAAAGAATCTCACAATTGGTTGCAGTCATTCATAGAACTTTACAAATTGCAAAAATGTCACCTCAAGTGACAAACTCATGGCGATATTTATAGATGTGATAAATTGTTCTAACGGGTGTTAATTAGAACTCTGGATGGATATAAATTCGTGTAGTCTGAGAGGGAAGGTTTAGTATACTAGTTTAAAGGCTTTCGGGGAAATGCGATTTCAGATTTTTAGGCAAACGATTTCAAGGTAATAAACTATACAGAAGACAGCACAGCTGTAGATAGTCAAATATAGGCGCTCCCGAAGTATGTGCACCAAGATGGCGCACAACCTGAACCCTAACCCGGTACACATACTATATTCAGGTTGTGCGCCATCTTGGTGCACATACTTCTGGAGGTCCCAATTATGAGGTAGAAAGTTAAGGTTACCTTGTCTTGTACTAAGACACTAGCGAGCTTTACACTTCTCAGCTTTTTATTTTACGGGTGTTTCCAAATTTAGAGGGTTGGTGAATATTTTGCTATCAGCGATAAAATTATTTGTAAACTTATAAAAATGTGTTACGTAATTGACTGAACATCTTCACTGATATATATGCCAATTTCTGGGTATTCAAATACTGTACAATTATATATATTCAAGTTAGAACTGGAAGTCGTGTCGCACCAAAAAAAAAATAGGTGAGTGTTTAAAATGGCATAGCCTACCTAGAACTTTATAAATTGCAAAATGTCACGTCGTGTGACTAGCTCATGGCGATGTTTATAGATGTAATAATTTGGTTCTAACGGGTGTTAATTTGAATTGTAGATCGATACAAATTCACTTAGGCTGAAAGTAAGGGTTTAGTACGATATAGGGAGATTTATTTTTTGCCAACCAGAAAAGAGGAGCATTGTAACAATAAAAGAATATACAACAACATACGCAAAGTTTTACGGTATAGAATGGGAGAGCGATAAGACCACACGGTCATCTGAATCAGGTTGAAGGCTCGCGGCGGGACACGACCGCCAAGTTATGAACTAGGCCTATACATAATAAAATATCATGGAATATATACAATTACGAGATTATATTTTTGGAAGGCATAGTTACTTGCACCAAGACGCAAGCGTCGATTATATATATATTTTTACTAATTAATTTGACACTTTAATTTTAATACCTGTGGTCATAAATGTAAATACCATGGATGTAAAATTCAGGTAAGTGACAAGAGTAAGAATTTAGAGATAGATTGTTAGTGGACATGCAGATCGCGCCTAATTTTTCACGCAATAGACAAATAGAGAATAGCATGTATTGTGTTCTCTCATTTATTATCCTCTCTCTTCTGTTAAAGCCGCGTGCCCCTAGTATTTACGTGTGTTTATGGATTTTGTTTTAATTATCAGCAGATTTTACAGCTATTTAAATCCAGGCTAATTTTACATACCTGCTATGGTATATTGTCATCTATTGTGTTAATACAATTTTATGAGACGAATTGTTCATCATTTGAGCAAGAAAGTACCGCCAGTTCGTCCTAAAGGAGATCCTGCATCCCCATTTCCTCTACCAGCAAAGGAGTTTGGTGATTTAAGCTTACAAGTCGAGAATCCTTTCTTGGGAGTTCCAAGTCCTGTTTCTCCTGCTGTAAGCCCGACACTCCGAAAAAGAGTAATCACCCATCCAAGCAGGTAAGCATATTTTATTGATTCTGTGTGACGGATAGCTTTCTCATACCAACCGTAAAACACGCTTAAATCCTAAGATCCTATCGGGCGTCTACTGGATATGTCAGGTCGCATCGACGTGCTTTTTCAATATATATAGATTTTTCATGTTAGTATCAATTACTGTAAGGTTTAATCCAGCGGTTCTCAAAAGGAGCAATTTGCGAAGTACGCCCAAAAAATCAACAGAATTGTATTCGACGTAACTAGTATATGTTTGAATATTTTACATATTGTATTTATTACAAATCTTTTATTGTTACTTATTTAAAATGCAGTGTATATAATGAATTCAATTTTTTTTATTCATTTTACCTTTTTTTGTTGTTTACTTCCTATTACGTAGTGTCTGGCTTTACTGTTGCACAACATTACAGGTAGACATTACGTGCTTCAATTTTGCGAGCTGCAGTTCCCTTATCTTCCAAGCCGAGTTTAGCCAACGCGATGAATTTTTCAAGTGTTTCAAAATCAGGTAGAGGTGGATAAGGATAGTTTACATTTTGTATTAAATCCTCAGGCCCACATGTTTAAAAACGTTAAAGGCATAATGCACATATGAACGATCACAAAACTGAGTTTCATTTGAAGGCAGCAGTTTTTTTTTCTGTAAGTACGTCGTGGGTTTTTCCCCGGATAATTTGGCGCCGCGCGAACAAAAAAGGTTGGAACCGCTGACCCAATCACTTGTGTCACTGCTCGATTCATAGGTTCGGCACCATGTAATGTCATGTTTACCTCTTTTTGTATTGTGTACGTACAAAGTGTATTTTCTGTATATTGGAACCATGAGAATACTGCATATTCTCAATAATTGGAATAACATTTTCTGATCGTCACTTTTTGCATCTTTCTGATTGGCCAATGTCACGAAGTAAACAAGGAAGTCGATGCTCGGGGAAAGGTCCATTTTGCTCGCTATCGAGGTTAATCGGTCGAAATAATCCGGATTGCTGCTCTGAGACTAGCCTAGTTGAATCGACGCTCGGTCTTGTTTTTGTTGAAGGCGCGAGTTTACGGTGATTTAACTTCTGAACGAGCTAGTACGGGTACCGGTAGCAGATATTTGGTGAACAAGATATTTATTTTGAAATCCTTGTTGTGAACATGGCGAGGCGTAAGTGGACACCTGACGAAGCGAGAAATCTTATTCTGGAAGGAATAATAGGGGAACCTGATTCTGATGATGCTTTTAACTACGAAGGTACGGTGCCGGTATGATTTGTCAATTTCTGGTTTTTTGACATTAATAACACAAAATTTAATGTTAATTCATTGCTCAATCGTCATTCTGCAATTGAACCCCCTATCGCCAAAAAACTCAATCAGATCTCGCACGGCAATTTTTTTTTCAACAAGCAATTAATCATATTCACCTATGGCTCCTAAAGAGCAAAAATAATTGCGATATTGTGTCAAAAAAGCTGTTGAACAAAGAACACATATTACACCACACTGTAAAAGTGTTGATTACCAATGGTTAATCGTGTTGCGCAATCTGTGACGTCAGTCTCGTTTCTTTTTAGCCACACCTCGTATTTCTTTCTCTTGCTCCATCTTTTCGTTTTTCAATAGATTTTGCGTTTTAAACACATTTGATTGGGATAGATATATAGAACGGTCGGCCAGTCAATGTGCTGGCGGCCCAAGGGAGTCACGTCTAGAGACTAGCTCAATGAAATCTTGTGTAGCCTATGTCACTTGGCCTAAACGCAGTTGATTATTTGTTTCTGTTAGATTCCGTTTATTATATGTGCGATAGATTAATGTTGTTAGATTCCGTTTATGATATGTGCGATAGATTAATGCTCTTGGTAAACGGGAGTTATGGGCCTGTACCTTGGAGATCATGTGTAAACGCGCCGACGGGCAACATCGACTCCATAGTTAGGAATCTTGTTTTAATGAAAATGGCGGATGTTGTTATTCCCTGGCAGAACCGACGTAATTTATAAGTGATCGGTATTTTTTTCACGTTTTTTATGTCACAGGCTCGCATGCCCTCTCAATAGCTCTTAACGTGGACTATATAAAGTCATTTGTTATTCCTCCTAAAGTTATTCTAGCCCAATATTAGATCCCAAGCAAAAATGCATCATGAACCAGATTATCACTCTTTGTGACGTCGACAGACGAAAGGTAATCTTTACGTCAAGTCTTCAACAAAGGCACGTTGATTTTGCTTGGCCAGGCATAGCGTTCAAGTACGTAAAATGTTTGTTGCCCTAGTCTGGCGGATCGAAAAAGTTCTGCGGAGACCGCACTGACAGAGTTATGCTTTGAAGATACCTTCGGTAATTGATTAGATCTACTGTATAAAGCCTCAAACACTGATGAAGGCAGTCACTAAAATTTGAGAAAAACACCCTCGCCGCGTTTTGAAATAACAAATTAGTTGTTATCAACTATGGGTTAGCAATATTTAGAATTTTCATCGCAATCTGCATTCTCACCTTAACAGAATAATTGCTAAATTTTTTATCATGAGCGGTAGCGGGGGATTTGTCCAAAATATCCATTAATTTTAGAAGTTAGCGACATACCTAGCACGGTGACCGTACATTTGAACTCATGTTTATATCCTCGGGTTCAATCTATATGCGGGTGCTAAACCCCATGGGTTAGGGTTAGTATGGGTTCAAATATCCGTAAAACAAAACAAAAAATTCCATATGTGCAAAAGTAAGCAGGTGCAATTGTCGTGGGTTCCAATGTACACGGGTTCAAATGTAATGGAACCAGCTAGCACTGCTTGTTCACGCGGTATAAGAATTTTTGAGGTCATATATTGGCGTCTAAAGACTTCCCGACATCATACCAATAAGAAGCGTCCTTCGAAAATTATTATAGAAATTTGCTTCACTTTATGTACTTCAATTTTACCGTAGTTTGGCCAAACTTTTAACTATTCTTGTTTCGCGCGTTTAGTTAAACGAAAAACCTTATTGTGCCGAAGTTCGAAAATTGTGTGCAGTTATCCTACTGGAAAGATTCACATATGGTTTTGTTGCCGAAGTCTGGTCCTTATTTCAGCGTAATAGAATTGTCATTTTCAGCATATCCAAGTTAGTGAAAGATGATTCATTTTAAATTCTACTTTTAAACTACCTTTCCGTAAAATTTTGACAATCTTCTGATTACCCTGCGCGACAGCGCGAGGGAACTGTTGACTCCTCGCAATGTGGTCACTCCGCCATGTAAGTCCGCATTTTGAATAAACTATTTTATTATTATTAATTTGAAGTGCGTTATAAGAACAACCAGCCAAATTTTCAAGTTCAGGGATCTGAAACAATCATCTGGGAATAATCCCATACCCGATATTGGCTGGTAGCCGGACAACAGGTCATAGTTCGCAATGTGATGAGCCATTTTTTCGTTCTTCTTTTACCCCGGGATAAATGTGTGAATTCTATCTGAACATATCAAAATTATTGCTGTGTTAAACGTTTTTCAATTTTTCGTTCTCAAAACCTTTACTAATTCTTCATATTTGCGGGAAATCACTTGCCGAGCTTACGTTCGAAGGCATATTTAAAGCATCCATTCCGGGTTTTCCCGCTCAGGCTTGCCAACTAGGAGCCGTTTGATAATTTGATTCGGATTATGATAATGACTTTTCGTTAATTTTCCCGTCCCGAGGATTGATAATCCTTCCCGAACTGCCCACCACTCAACATGTTTGTTTATATTTCACGCTCCAATGATTTGTTCCCAAATAACGGAGGTCATATCATTTTGCTACAGTTGCCAGACCGCGTAATGTTATAAATCCTGAAATCAGACATATCTTCGTATATTAGATTTTAAATTGAGTTGTACGTTCAGCTCGAAATAATAAGTTGGATGATAATGTATTATTGCTATTGTATGGTATATAGGCATGTAACAATATTGTACATGTACGGTACCGCTAGTTGCAGAAAACTGTGCAAATTCTGAATTTGCAGATTGGTGCATTTCCATCCTGCCATCCTACAGGGGTGGTGACTCCTTTAAGGCCCATGGGCCGGGGCCACGGCCCATCTAATTGGGCCACATGGGCCGTGGCCCATCAAGCTATGGGCCGCGGCCCATCAGAAAAAATTCAATTGTCTTTCCAAAATTTTCAATTCTTACAAAATTGTCAATATTGGAACAAAAAAAAAATCGCGGGATGCCACCAAACCTTTTTCTTACGATAAGCCTTTACATAACAAGAGAGCTATGCTCAAATATATGGACACGTAGCGCCACCCAGTTGGAATAATTTTCATGACGTCATAGCGAAAAAAAAAGTAATAGCCTTCTGGAGAAAAATTTTATCTTCAACCACTAAAAATTTCAAAGCAATTGGTTCAGTATTCGAAGAGAAAAGCGATTTCTTCAAAACGTGTCAAAGAACAAGGACAACATAATATTGAAACGATCGCTATGTCCACTACGTGTCCAAAAATAAAGCAAAATACGAAGCTACAGAAAAAGATACACCTGAAGTATGTGTACCAGGTTAGGGCCACGACGAAATTTAAAATGATGATATTCGATTTTTTCGTAAAATTTTATTTCGTAACTGCTTGTGAATATTCATTTAAAGTCCAGACTACTGCGGAATTTTAGTATACCGTAAGTTTCGACTCCATAATCAGCAGTAGACGATAAAATACCGTAATAGATAAAAACAACAACAAAAAAACTGAATATAGAATCGGGAGAGCAAACGCCGTTAGTTCCACTTCAAAAATAAGGAATTTATACCTGTTATAAATGACTCCAAATGTCCAAATCCTGCAATCAAAATGACAGACGATAAAATAATTCAAGTAGGCTAATTGATAAAAACTGAATAAAAAACGGGACAGCAAACAAAACTTCAAGTAAGATTTTGAGAGAACAGAATTCAATGCAAGTGAGAAATATTTCAGCCTGAGAAGGTGGCATTAAATAAACTAGAGACAGAGATCAGGAGATAGATAATTCAGTAATTTAATTTTTGGGAACTCGTTTTGCTTTAGTCTACCTGTATTCGTTTGGTTTGGAGTAGGAGAGTCTGGCATTCTGGGGTCTCATGTAGTTTCGTACCTAACGTACTTCTAGTGGGCGTAGCATAACTATTTTTTCACGTGTCAATCCTGACAACACCATTCAAAAATGACGTCACTACGTCGTAACAGTGACGTAATAGAGCCCTTCAAACTATACGAACTGTCATCCAAGACGCGCAGACAAGAACCAGAAATTGAACAGCTATTTCTCTTGTTTTCTTGTCGCAATGATCCAGATAGGAGAGAGATTGCTGACGTTAGTAAGTTCTTCATCATCGGCACCGATGCCATTTCGATCGGACGTGTATTTGGCAAGCTCTAGGTTGTAATTGTAACGTCGTAGTGACTTAATTTTTGGATGGCGAAGTCAGGTGGGGGTTAGAATTGACTTGTCAAAAAATTGTTATGCTACGCCTATTAGAAGAACGTTAGGTACGAAACTACACGAAACCCAAAGTCTGCTGGTTACTTTGGTATACTTACCGTAGTCTCTAAGGGTGAAGGTAGGGAAGCCCCTTTTACAGTTTTAAAATTTTATTAAGATTGAATTGTTAAATACTGTAATATGCGATCTTAATGAAGGCCCAATTCTGCAATTAGAGAATATCGTATCATATAATTTCACTTATATCCATATACAGATATATATAACTGTTGGCAATGGCAACTTTTTTGAATTGTGACAGAGATAAAATAAATTATCTATATTCTATTTTACTTTGTTATCCTAAAATATTATTTCCAAATGTTGAAGCTTTTTGTCTCAATATAACATTATAAATGACTACTCCTGTTGCCGTGGATACCACTGTTGCTTCAAAAGTTCCTTTCGGGCAACTTTGCCAATTATTCGAACGAATAAGTCGTGGAAAATCTAATCCAGTGAGGCGTGAAGAATTCCGTAACTTTGTCAAAAAATGGAGAGAACATCATGAAAAATTGCACAGCAAAATTATCACAAATGGATCAATACCAGATGATTCTTTTTACCCAGCTTTTAGACTCATTGCACCACAATTAGATCGGGAGAGGCCTTCCTATGGAGTCAAAGAAACCCTACTGGCGAAATTGTATATTGACGTTCTTGGATTATCAAGAACCAACCCAGATGCAAAAAAATTATTGGAATATAAAAACCCAAAAACGAATACATTAGCTACAGGAGATTTCGCTGAAATCGCTTACATCCATATCTTATCAAAAAGGTGCACAACGCAAGGATCTCTCTCAATACAACAAGTCAATGATAATTTAGATAAACTGGCAATGTATAATGGCGAACGTAAAAAAGAACAAGTACAAAAAACTCTGATGACCCTGATACAAAAAACATCGGCTTCAGAGCAAAAATGGTTGATTAGGATTCTTTTAAAAGACACGAGACTGAAAATTGGGCAGTCAGTACTGATGGCTGAATTTCACCCTGATGCAGAAGAAGTGTTCAACGTCACTACAAATTTACGACAAGTTTGTATGAAACTGATAGATCCATCAATTCGTTTATCAGACACGGAAATTGAATTGTTTCAACCGTTTCGTCCTATGCTTGCTCTCAATGCAAAGTTGACGGAAGTAGAAAACCTGATGGATCATAAACCGTTTTATTTAGAGATAAAATACGACGGCGAAAGAAGTCAAATTCATAAAGAAGGTTTGAAGTATAAATATTTTTCTAGGAGTGGCCGAGAGTATTCAACTGTGTTTGGAGAGGACCCATATTCGGGGTCTTTAACCCCATTTATTCATGATCTGTTTACCCCCAATGTTCGTTCTTGTATATTAGATGGGGAAATGATGGGGTATGACCCAGGTTTGAATCTTTTTATGCAAAAAGGAGGTCAGTTTGATATCAAACATGTTACTGAAGATCACGACCTGCAGCCATGTTTTGTCGCCTATGATTTGCTTTCTTTAAATGGAGAAAATTTGACTTCGAAACCTGTCGCTGAGCGAATGAAAAAATTAGAGTCAATTTTTAAACCTCTTGAAGGTCGAATGCAATTGGCTGAAAGGAAACAGGTATCAACCAATCAGGAAACGCTTGCTTATTTGAATGAAGCAATTGATAGACGTGAGGAGGGGATTATTGTTAAACACCCCCAAGCTCCGTACACTCCCAACAAACGTAAAGGTAGTGGATGGTTTAAAATTAAACCTGAGTACGTTAGTGGAGTGGTAGATGACCTTGATCTTGTTATTGTCGGAGGAAAGTTCGGGGATGGCCGACACGGTAAATTGATCAGCAAATTTATGTTGGCCGTAAGGGATGATAAAAGCCCGAATTTAATTTACAAATCCTTGTGTATGGTCGGATCTGGGTATACTGATAAAGAATTATCAGAGATAACTGAGAAATTGAAACCGCATTTGCGAGTTTTTGAAAAGAGAAAACCTCCTCCATGGCTTATTGTGACAAAAGAAAAGCCAGAAGTGGTTGTTCACCCCGATAATTCTGTTGTGGTACAAGTACGAGCAACTGAAATTACTGAGTCCACAGCATACGCTGCCGGTTGTACATTGAGATTTCCGAGAATAGTTGGAACACGAGATGACAAAAATGCGGCAGATGCTATGGACGTCACGCAACTTACGGAATTAAGAAATATGGCGCAAGGGAAATTGGCAGCACGTCACGCTACACTGACCAAAGAACCCAGTGTCAAAAAACGGAAAATTCGTGTTGAACCATCGGCTGTTGTTTCTGCAAGGTTTCAAGCTACTAATGTAATGGATGTTGAACAGACTTCCAACTCTTTTGAAGATTTTGAATTTTGTGTGATGTCTGGCGTAGCGAATAACAATAAGTCGTCTTTAGAAAAGAAGATTGCGTCACATGGTGGCAGTATTGTTCAAAATCCGAGCTCAGAAACGTATTGTGTAATTGCTCGCGATGAAAAAAATGTTCGTGTACGCAATATTATAAGAAGTGGGAAACACGATGTTGTTAAAGTTTCATGGTTGTTACTTTGCTTGGAGAAAGGAGAGATTGTTCCATTTATGCCAGAAGATATGCTTTTCACATCTGAAAAGACTAAATTAAAGTTCGCAGATAAGTTTGACAAATATGGCGATGAATACACTGAAGATATAGATGTTGAAAAATTGAAACAACTTTTTTCAAAAGTTGAAAATACAGAGGGGTATTCATCTCACTTTCCCCCACCAGATGCGGATGATCGTTTAACCGTTATGCAATGCTGTGCAAATGACGTGTCGTCTCGTTATCATTCGTACGGATTTCATGATCTAAAGACTTCAATTTTTCAGGGTTTTCATTTTTATATAAATGATTGCCTCGTCGTTAATGATCTTACTACGCAATTAAAAACATCAAAATGGAAGGAGGCGAGATCAGTTTCACGATTTTTTAGTGCAATTTTGGACGACACAATATCAGAGAAGACTACTCATGTGATTAGTGATGAATTATCTGAAACTATAGGAAATATTGATGAGATTAAAAACATCAGACGATCTTCAAAAACGAAATTTCATTTAGTTTCAATTGACTGGTTGTTTCAATGTGTCAAGAATGGGAAAGTAGAATCAGAAAGGCCGTATGAAATTTAAATACTGTAATTCAGTCTATGATGAGTCCATGCATCTGAAACAACTGACTAGCTATTTCCCTTACCCGACATGGACAGATACCGTGGTTTGCCATATGATTAAGGCGCGTCATCAATTTCCCTATCCTCTGGGATAAATATGAAAATCCTATCTAATCCATATAATAAATACAGTATGACTCTAAAAAAACGGAACTCAAAAATTTCTTAATCACTCCGACAAAAATAAAGATATTCAACACTTGAATTTCTGTTTGTGTATTATTGAGCCTAACAGTCTTAGTAATCTAGGAATCTGAAGTTATGTTCTGTCCAGGATATGTTCCGAATGACTGTTTTTTTTTGTGTCACCTTATATGGAGACTTTTGACTTTTGTGCTATGATAATTTTATAATATACTTTTAGTGTAGATACAAAAATTTAGGCAAATGCTCAGAGTGAGCATATATATTCATAGCATGATTGATGGAGCACTTATATTGTTATTTTATTTCAACTCATTTATGAACTTTGTTGAGTCATTGTTTTTACTCACTTCAACTCATTTAATATTTCTAGTGAGTCCTACTTTCCTTCTACTTTCTAGTATTTATTCAATAAGGATACAAGGAATCCTATGTAAGGAGTTATATAATGTAAATATCGAGTAATTTATATGGTAGTTCTAATTCAAATATCATAAATCGATGCAGGTATTCAAGACCTAATATATTCATCTGTAAAAGGAAATTTTACTCTTTAATCAAATGAGTAAATTCCAGAATTTGGGGGACCATAAAAATTTTGGAAAAATAATTTTAAATAGTAAATATCTCTATGGTTTGAATTAAGGTTTCTTACTTTTGATTGGAGCAGAAATATTTTTTTACTCAATTTTTGGCGCTCTGGAAGTATTCGTACCAAGATGACGCACAACCTGAACAACCATAATCTGGTACACATACTATGTTCAGGTTGTGCGCCATCTTGGTACGAATACTTTGGGAGCATCCAATTTTCTACTCGTAGTCTTTTATCATTTCCCATTTGCTTGTGGTTAGACTGAACCAGTGGTTCCCAGCTGATTGACCGGAGGCCAAAATTAGAAACGAAAAAATATTCGTGGGGAGCGCCCGCAGGGCGGGAGGGCAGGAGCACACAAATTAGATCATCCCGATCAAATTAAGATACCGCTATATTTAAATTGTTACGAATATACACATTCTCAAACTGTGATAATGATGTAACAATTGCCGGCATCTAGAAATGCAAAAAGGTAAAAATGTGGTAAAAAGGTAAAGTCATAAGTTTTAAACTATTTCACTTAAGCTCGGCGGGCCATATTAAATCGTTACGGGGGCCATAGTTCACTCTTGGTTCACGGTTTGAGAACCACTGGACTAGAAATTGCAACATTGCACAATGTATCTATATCAGTGGTTCCTCCACTTCAGTTGGAACCCACTATTTATTACCACAGCTTATGGCGACCCATTTGACTTTAATAAATTAATAAAACATTGATGGAGGAAACAAATTTATTTTCTCAAACTAAATTTTCAGTGAAGCTAGTGAGAGGATGAGCTTGTTTCTTGCTACTTTCCAAAATAGACTTGACATTTATTTCAATTTCAGATAGTTTTAGACGTAAAGAATTTGAAAGTTGCAGTTTATTTCGAAATTTGCTTTTAATCAAAGCTTTCCACATCTTTTCACGACCCACTAAGATTCCTTTTGCGACCCACCAGTGGGTTGCGACCCATAGTTTGGAAATCTATGTTGTAGAGTAGATGATGAATAAGTTGAGAACACATTTGTAGAAAAAATATATCGCATATTCAAGATCAATAATTTTCAATTTCAATTCACCTTATGTTATTCGTAGAAAGTAATTCATATGTACCGTAATTTATGCTATGATATTGAGCCTACTCTATTCAATTGTTCTTGATGTAGATTGATGAAATATTTTTTCGTAATAATCACATTTATTCACATAATTCCACTGTTCAACCGAAATTGATTTTGTCTACTTTTACTTGAATCGTAAAAAAACATTCTTAGAATATTATATATTTTAGATGATGTTCCAAAAATAACTCCATGTCTGTCTATTATTTCCTATAATTCCGTCCCGTTTCTCTTCTTGATTTCCAAAAGCTCTACTACTTTCTAGTATTTATTCAATTTTTTTATTTTGAAATCATTTTGTTGGACTATTTGCCAGCCCCTGACGTAACCCCCACTCTTTATATTAGTAGCCCATATGCTGTATGAGCGAGCATGATTTCAGTGGTTCGTCATATGATTAAGTCGTCTTATAGGCTTTCCTCTCCCCCTGGATGAATATGTAAATCCTATCCTCATGAATTTTGTGAATGAGAAAAGGATAAAGGGTTGAGAACCTTTTAAGAATAGTATGATATATCAATGCATTTTTCACTACTTTATTTTTTTCTATTAATTTTAGAATTTTTTATTCCTTTAATATTAATTTTCATAGTCAAGTATTTTTTGTTTAGTCCAAGCAGATTTTGCATCCTTGAGAAAATGTCTCCAAAAAAAGTTTGCATCATTGGATCTGGCAACTGGTTAGTATGTTCTGTGCATTACAATTACAAGAGCTTGATATTATATGTTTTATTATCTTTCAAAATCCTATAGAAGCTACAGTTTAAACCTCTGGAATAGACATCACAAACCAAAAATTTGACACCTGTACTGCGACTTACCAGTTAAACATTTACTAAATCAGGTTTTTCATATATATTCCTAAAAGCAGCCTTTCATTCTCTTATGTAGTGTTATTGGTAACCTTGGGATTTTATTATAGTCATAGTGGCTCTATTTTTTTTTATCTCCAAAATCCTTTTGCCAGCTGTAGTTTGGAAAGCTCAAAAGTGGACATTCAAGACTTCACCTGGTCAGTCATGCATTTACTACCGTATATCAAGTTCATTATTAATAATTCTGAACCTGGTAGTACCCTACCTGGTAATGTGTGTACCAGGTTAGGGTTAGCCCATAATTTTATTCCGATTTTCCTTATTTTAGTTCTATTACGAGTTCAGGGACTGTCTGTATCAGCCAAGTGAATATACCCCCTGCCCATAGGCTTTCGTCCCTTTACACAACTTGATGTAAAGTAGGTGAACAAAATTAGTCACCTCCATATTAGTACACGCACTTCTGGAGCGCCCCCTTCCTTACCTCTCCATTTTATTACCTTCTTTAATTTTCATCATTTCACTCACAGGGGTTCGTCAATTGCAAAAATTATTGGTAAAAATGTGGCAACCAACGATGCATTTCACGATCGAGTGAACATGTATGTTTATGAAGAAATGATTAACGGAAGAAAATTAACCGAAATCATCAACCAAGATCATGAAAATGTCAAATATCTTCCTGGACATAAACTGCCAGAAAATATTGTGAGTCGGTTTTTATATCGATTGGAGTTATCCTTCCTTTATGTCTTTGTGCTAGATCTGCTGCTGGACTCGGAGACTGGAGTTTTGCTGCAAAGTGTGAACTAATAATTTTTGGTATATAAGCTGTGATGTCACGCCAGCGACCACTAGAAAAATTGGCCATTTTCAAAGTATCCCCAAAGCCTTATCCCCAAATTTGAAAAAACCGTTTGAGGAAAACATTTCTTGATTTTTTAACGTCTCTAAACTTTTAGCGAAATACTTGGGTGACCATCACTTTAAATTATGATTGAAGAGCACCTAGTTCTTTGTAATATTTTCAAATGAAACTTTATATTAACATTTGCGCTTTGCCTCTGAACATCCCATTCAGTAGTCAAACTTAAAATTTACTGTTTTCAATATTCCAGGTAGCAGTCCCAGATCTTAAAGAAGCTTCCAGAGAGGCCGACATGTTTATTTTTGTTGTTCCACATCAATTCATTGGAGGTCTATGCAATGGAATTAAGGATTGTATCAAACCTGACGCCATTGGAATATCTTTAATTAAGGTGAGATCTGACAATGGTTATTAAGCTTAGATCATCCTGTGTCGGGATTGCGTTCCATAACTAGATGTCATGGTTTGTTCCTATAATTAGGAATTCAGGATACAGGGTGTTAAAAAAGTAAGGCAAAATTAACAGAAGTTAACGTGAAATGCTTCTTAATACATTCAACGACTGACACCGTTTAAGAGTATTGAATTACGGTGAAAGGTCATTTAAACATTTTACGACTGACGCTTTTTGGCAGCTACTTTTATAACGTTGCCATGACAAAAAATTTTACCTTAATTTTGCGCAACTTTTTTAACACCCTGTATATTTTCTTTTCGTTAAGATATATATAATCATATCACCTATGCCAGATCATCACCTCAGATATGTAATATGTTAACCAGAAAGACACAAGTCATGCTTATTTACCATCATTGACAGATGTCATCTTGTGGGAATGATAATGAATGTAAACACATTACTACTGGGAATACCACCGGCTCAGTGGTGTAGCGCATCGTGCTAAGTGTTAGGAATATGCTCGCTACTGCCTACCGCACCTCTAATTAATCTGCATGGTTTCGCAGGTTTGAATCCCTTGCGGGGATAATTATTTGCGAGAGGTTTGCTGGCCTCCTCGCCGCCGTAAGGTGGTTCACATAACCGCTGGACGGTTACGACTTCCTCCACCATCAATCCATGCTTTTGAAAAACAAATAACTGGCTAATTAATCCCATACCTGACATGGACTGGTATCTGGACGAGAGGCCGTGGTTCGCCATATGGTTAAGACGTCTTGGTGCCTTTTCTCTCCCGTAAGATAAATGTGTAAATTCAGGTAAAGATCCTTGTTTGGCTCGTATAAAAAAATGATTCTCAACTTTTGTTGAATCTATTCTCTTTTTTTTTCAGGGTGTTGATCATTCGGACAAAGGACTTCGTTTAATCAGTACCATAATCCAGGAAATCTTGTCAATTGACGTCAGCGTTCTTATGGGTGCCAACATTGCTCATGAAGTCGCGGACCAAATGTTTTGCGAAACGACCATTGGGTGTCGCTCTATGCCAAATGGACAATTGTTCAAACAACTCTTACAGTCGCCAGATTTTAGAATCTGTGTTGTTGATGACCTCGAGACTGTTGAAATATGTGGGGCACTTAAGGTATGAAATTTTGTTTCAGTAGAATGGCGCTTCACCTAAACTTTTCCCTCAGCATATTGAATTTGATCATTAAATAACAAGTTTTAAAGGCAAGCAAAGAAGATATAACATTTAGAAAACAACACATACATTTACTGACACACTCAAAATTGTCTTACATTACACCAGTTCACTATGACATATTTCGGGATCCACTGCTGTAACGTATCAAAGATCGTGAAAATTGAACATTTTTCAAACTATTTCATATTATATTTCAGAATGTTGTCGCATGTGGTGCTGGCTTCGTTGATGGGCTTGGATTCGGTGACAACACTAAAGCTGCTGTGATTAGGCTTGGGCTTATGGAAATGATGAAATTCTCGAAGGTGAGAACATCCATCCTTGCTGTGTTATAAACGGGGTTGTCATCAATATGAACCCAAAAATATGGGTTTTTCAATAGTCTTGGGGTCTAAAATGCGTTCCAAGCTATGAAAAATTGGTTTGTATGATACAGAATTTTTTTTTAAACTTTCAAGGCGGGGGGAGGGGTGTGGCCCTGAACTACAGACTGGTGATTACCAACAAGCTAAAAAAAATTCAGTTGTATTTCTGTTATTACTTATCTTTAGATCGGTACTTATCGATCTTTAGATCTTCAGATCGGTAAGTATGTTGATGGGTATTTGTCTGTCTGTCTGTCTGTCTGTTAGATGCACGCGATATCTCACGAAGGCGTGGTTGAATCTGCTCCAAATTTTGCATGATCATTTATCATATCTCGGACCAGAAGCTTATTGATTTTGGATGAATTATGTCGTATAATTAGCGAGTTATTAATTAATTAGTGATGGGACACGTGGTGTCACTATAGAGTCATGAATCGAAACCGCAGTTTTGATCGATAAGTCTTCGGTTTCTGACCGATATTCTCGTTTCTCTTTTCTTTTTAACATTAATTTTAATTGATTTGATATCTTTATTATCAAGGTGGGAAAGTTTACAGAGAACGAAGTTAACCTATGAATCGTTTTGTTTAAATATTTTGGGTTTTATTCTTGATGTATAAAAACTTGATAGACTTGACTCCAGCTCCACTACCCTGTTTAGAACTTTATAAATAATTCCTTGTCCAAGTTTTTAATACACAGCTCAGTGGTGTGGCGTACCGTGCTAAGCGATAGGAATATGCTCGCCATTGTATCTCTGATTACCCTGCGTGGGTTCGTAGGTTCGAATCCTGTGGGAGATACTTATGTACGAGAAGATTGCTCAACTCATTGTCGTAGTGTGGTTCATGTAACTGCTATCTGAAACAAATAACTGGCTCACTCATCCCATACTTGACATGGACTGGTAACCAAACGATATGCCATGGTTTACCTTATAATAAACTCTTCCCATCGATTTTCCTTTCTCCCGGGAATACAAATATGTAAATTTTATCTTATTTCTTCTTATCCATATCCAGGTATTTTTCGCTGATTCAAATCCACAGACATCAACCTTCCTTGAATCTTGTGGAATCGCCGACCTTGTTACAACCTGCTATGGTGGACGGAATAGGAAAGTATCAGAGGCATTTGTGAAGACAGGAAAGGTAGGCGCTGTAATATAACTTGCAAATTCATGTAGTTATTTGTTTATACCAATGATTCCCTCTATATCGAATTATCAAAAGCTCGATCATCCCTTCCGTAAATATACAGTAGTCAATGTCATATCATTATAATCGGTGCTCCCGAAGTATGCGAACCAAGATGGCAGACATCCGAACGTAACATGGGTAACAGGTTAGGGTTAGGCGATAATTTTTTTCCAATTTTCCTTATTTTAGTCTTATTATCAGTTCGAAGACTAGCCAAGAGCCTCCCGTAGTATTTATACCTAAAATTATGGCCTAACCCTAACCTAGTACACATATTACATTCCGATGTCCGCCATCTTGGTTCGCATACTTCGGGAGCCCCTTATAATCTTTCCTTTATCTGAAATAGTGCTAAAACTAGCACCTATTGCATTCTCCGATTCGACTTTGAGATGCCAAACTTGCGCAAGCACAGCATTTCAGCATACAATCTGTTTGCTTTAAGACGATTTTAAATTCGTAGAATTCAAGTTGGGTCATGCAGAATTATTGAGATAAACATTGCTCAAATCAATTCTTAATTTTATTTTGTAGGATGTAATATGACTTGCAAATCTATGTTGGTATTTATTTATACCAGTGATTCCAAAACTTTTTATCATCGTTCCCCCATGTCGAATTACCAATTACCTACCTTACATAAAAATGCAGTAGTCATATCTGTACTGTATCTCGACTGTACACCACCAGGGATGCCTAAAACGACTACAAGCATCAGGGCAAGAGTAACCATGGAAACAGCAGCAAAACAAATCGTATACATTCCAAATTAAATACATTCGAGAAATAATATTCAATTTATTAAGTTCTTGATTTTAGAAAGAATATAGATTATTTTTATTCGAAACTGTGTTTTTAAAGATTTATTATCTTATGATTAAATTCAATTTCTACCAATTCTACCCTACTAAATTCAATTTACAGTTGTCTTCAAGAATTTTTCTTGTAGAACAGACCCAGTTCAGAATATATTAGATATTTTATATTCGAAAAGATTATTTTAGATTGTATTCAGAATACAATGTTTTTCGATTTTGTCCATCCGTGGTGTGCACTGTAATATAACTTGCAAATCCATGTAGTTATTTGTTAACACTAATGGTTCCCAAACTTTTCCAATATCGTTGCCCCTATATCGAATCACCAAAAGCTTGAATATTGTTATCATGCCCCTACTAACTAGATGACTAGGCTGACTGACTGACACTCGTCTTTTTTTTTTTAAATAGTTGTGACCCCTCCATTGAACCACTGATTCAATGTATTTAATGTATGGTGAAAAAATAAACCACTGATTACTAATTTGAACATCCCTGCCGAACATTTTCTCTTATTTTCAGAGTATTGAGGAACTAGAGCAAGAAATGTTGAACGGACAAAAGTTACAAGGCCCTCCCACTGCAGCCGAGATTGTTGCTGTGCTGAAGTCTATGAATATTGACTTGAACGAGTGAGTGTCTTAGATTGGGTAGTTGTTAAGAAATAGAAAGTTTGTTTGCGAGCTTTGATTACATCATGTGGGTGCAAATGTACGCGATTACAATTGTACATGGGTGCAAATGTCGGTACTACTGTCAGAAGTATGTAACCAAGATGGCGGACACCGGAACGCAGTATGTGTATCAGGTTAGGGTTAGGTTATAATTTTAGGTACAAATACTACGGGAGTCACTTGGCTAGTCTCCGAACTCGCAATAAAACTAAAATAAGGAAATTTGGAATAAAATTGTGGCCTAAACTTAGCCTGGTACACATACTACGTTCCGATGTCCGCCATCTTAGTTCCCATCAAACATTTTTAGACTCTTAAAAACCCACATTTTCCCACTAACTGTTGCGGTCAAACTTGGCAATCAGGAATTTCAGAATCTCTCACCTGAAAATTCCTGGTCATGTCCCTGGCTAATATAGATCGAGTTTGGAAAGTCAACTATGACAGTTACCATTTCATATGCAAAGTATGGTGGAGGAATCCATAATTGAAATCCTTAGCGACATTTGAGCGCTCATAAGCAGTGCTCGATACGTATTTTAGCACCTCAAAGAACACAATTGAGAGTACAAATTACTGCTCGGAAAGCGTTTGTGGCCTTATATAGAAATTAAACACTATTACCGGTACCTAATGTTTCAGAAAGCTTATGTAGGTTCTATAATTTTGTCATCCTTATATACAGGTATCCTCTATTCACCGCTGTGCAACGAATCTGCTACGAAGGCTTGCCACCCTCTGAATTCATCAGATGTCTTCAGAACCATCCAGAACATATGTAATTTGTAGTCTGTTATATTTATCTTGTGTGCTTTATTTATTTTTTTATTTAGCCTTAAATTTATAGTGCCTTTAACTAGAGTTGCCAGATTTTAATACTCTTTGAGTCGAAGTATTGCAATCAACAGGGAAGCCCTTATAATATCTAGTGTCTGTTCTAGTGGTTTCCAAACCGCGGCCCTTTGGCCAAAATGGTGTTTCAATCAGTTTCTGAAAACTGAAAAAACTAATGAAATCACCGCTTTCTTATGTTTCCCTGCATTTGCAGATTCAGACACACTGAGCACAAATTTCTATGTATCCCCTGTTAAGCATGACTCAATCTATAATATATTCTAAACCAGGGGTTCCCAAGCTTTTTTCTGGATGACCCCAGAGCAGTGTTAACTCTAAGCAAATTATGAGTGCGAAAGTGCTTCGCAGTCGAAAAAAAAAGTGCGAAAGTGCTTTTGCCGATTTTAACAAGTTAGGTGCCCTAGCCTTTCATATAACCCATTTAAAACGGCATAGATACTCGAAAAAGCGCTCCTCCGGTTAATATTATGAATTACAGAGAAGCCTTTTCGTTAAGGGAGTTCCCTTTAAGCGAATTCATGTTTAATTAAAACGCGAATTCATCGGCAACCGAAATGACATCTGCTAACACCTGCCGCGGACAAAACTTCCATGCAATGTATCACGGTGTGCTTACTCGCATAAACAACAAAGACTTTCACATTTGTTACTCCTTCCATCTAACAGACACGAGGCAGGCTGGAAACCATATTAGTTACAGGGTGGATCGTTTGTACAAATCCCGTGCAAAATAATCCCCCCCCCCCCAAATATAAATAGCAATCAACTAATTAGGGTTAGGTGCGCTGGAAATTTAACTTTTCAATTTATCCCTAAACCTAATCTGATAATTATTAATTTGTGATTTTGATCCACTTTGAAAGTCGCCACCCGCTGTTTTAAAAGATAGGTTAACCTACGTTCTCTACGAAATATTACGCAGGATACTCCCCTGTTTTAGGAGATAGGTTGTGACCTACTTTCCTTTCAAACTTTTTCCTCCGAAATATTACACAAGATCACTTTGAAAATCCTCCCGGTTCGTGAACTAGCGTGACCTAATTTCTCATTTACATTTATATTATACTATTTCAGAGCTTACCCAAAGACAAGTAATTTTTAAATGTCGACATGCCTTGGTTTGCGTGCGAGTTAGTTTAAATCGGGCAGAAAACATCATATATTGGCAAAATGTTCAGTAATGTCATGTACTTTCAGCATTCATAAATAGCACTCTTTGTAATGCTGCTGACCTAGTATCAAATATTCGCATCACAACGCCACTTGCGAGGTTCCCATATATTTCAATTACACTAATAGGAACGATGACATCAAAGAGTTTTCTTTTGCTAAGGTACACTAAATATAACGAGGGTGATTCTTGAGAAAAACATGAATATAAAAAATAAACGAATGATATGATAGTGGATCCCAAATAATTTTGAGAGTGTCTCGAAATACCAATCCATTTGATAAATAATTTTTATTCGACCACATGACCGCTGATATCCTGAAAATTAATGTTGAAAGAGAATTACGCATTCTCAGATATCGGACATCCAGTCGCGATATTCAATCGTTTATATGCACAAATCTCACATTAATAGTAATTGCTACCCAAGTTTGTGAAGTTTAGAAACCAACAAACAGAAAATAACTTATCCTAAAACACAATTAAAATTCAGTCGGGAATAAATTCGTCACCAAGACGATGTCATACAAAACAAAAAGATTTGGTCGCGAGAGTTACGTGCGTTGTTTTTTAAGCAGAATGTAAAAAAATTTATAATTAATAAACGGGAGTTACGACGCCCTTAACACATCGTGTGTATTAAACTTCCCTGGTAAGTACTATTATTATTGTACTTATACACCTGTTGTATTATTGTACTTATACACCTGTTGGAGTATTTCGGACAATTTCGAATTTAAAATAAATGAAAACCCGACATATAATAAAGACGCAAAAGAAAAATGAACATTTATGGAAAAAGTTATTATTTAAGAAAGACAATATGATCGTACAATTCCGCCAAAACCTCGATGTTCGCAAGTGAGATGATAAATAAATACTTCCCTGTATTTGATCAATTAACTTTATCGTATCGTTGTTCTGCCAACAAACAGCCGGGTGCAAAATATTTCCGTCCTGTGATATGCTCACAAATATTCTCGATATTAATATCATACCCTCGCGTATGTACTTTCTATTAGCTCTTTAGTGATCCCTTCCATCCTTGGCCAAGTCATGTTTCGAATATGTGAACATTTTATTCGACCATACATGGCCGGCGGGATGTTAAAATTGTAAACAAGAGAGAGGTAAAATCAATCGCGAGTTTCGTTATAACGGCTCGTTTACGAATTGTTGCGCCTGTTATCGTCGAAAATGATTACATTTGTTGTATTTTGAGGCATTTAAGCAGTAATAATTAGGGCATGACATCATCAAAATCGTCAAGTGAGATCTTGAAATTGCAAATTCCGTAAATAGGATTGTGAATTATTCGGTAACAAATTCAGCTTTAATGACCGTCGGGGTATTGTTTTGTTGAAAATTATTATTAATGTGAGAGCGCCAAAAACATACAGTCCATACCGATGCGACTGCAATTTATATGGTCGCAATTGGTGTGGCGCATCTATTAATAGTGTAAAATAAATTAAACGAATATCAATTATAACCAAGCCTGTCAGCGTGTTTATTTTCTGTGGGCAGGAATCGTAAAATACCACCTTGAGACAAATTCACTTCTATTATAAAATCTTAATTTTCAGTTATTATCGTTATACAAATACCGTGTGGCAACTTTTTAATTTATCGTCGACCGAAAAACCGCCCCACACTCGTCCAAACGTGTGTCGAGCTTGAACGACAGGAACAGATTCATCGACGACCTTAATTAGGGAAAATATGTATTTTATTGGGAATGCAAAATAAAAGTAACAAAACGCATTTTTTTGTGATATTACTTTGTATTTTCGGAAACGGGTTGCCGTGAAAGGTAAAATTTGATCTAAATTAATCGCAAAAAGGTTTTATTTTAAATGTAACAAAACACATTTTTCGAGATACAACTGTATTTTCGGATACCGGGTGTCATGAAGAGTAAAATATGATCTGAATTAACCGTAAATAATGTTTCATTCCAAATGTATCATGACGCATTTTTTGCGATATAACTTTGTATTTTCGAGAACGGGGCGTCACGAAAATTATTAATCTAATGTTTTATCTATCGTCTAACTAACGCCTGGAACACATCATTTTCGGGGAGAACTCTAGCCCGCGAAACGTCATTTAATTTAAAATAGAGAATGTTTCACGCATTTCAAAACGGAAAATCACCAGTAAGTGGACAGGGATTCAACCCTCCGGATTCAGTATTCTATATCCCCCCTGTCAGAACTTTCTGAAGAATGGAACAAAGAACCCGTCAAACCGCCGCCGAAGAAGGGGAGTATTTTTTGCACTAATAATTAGGGCGTGACAATATCAAAATCGTCAAGAAACTGTGAATTTGCAAATTCCATAAATAAAATTGTGAATTGCTCGGTAACATTTTAGCTATAATTATCGCCGGGGTATTGTTTTGTTGAAAACACGTTGAAACTTGAGGGAATTAGTTACAATTAGCGCTGACCTCTATTAGGCACTCGAGCACTCGAAAAAAAAGCACTCGAGCCCAATCTTTTTAGCATTAAGTCGCATAAGTAAAATATCCTGTAAAAGAAGTGCTGTTCATTAACGTCATCTCGTCTTATGACCACGCAGAAATGCCTTTATTGCCGAATTATTCAATCACTATTTTAAATCAACATTCAGGATTGTCACAATTTCAGATTTGCGAAGTTTATCACCATAGAAATACATGAGAAAGTTAATTATCGTCTTAATAAATATCTGCATCACGGTATGGACAATAATATTACCATTCCCATAAAATTGGGACGGTAAATTTACAAATCTTGATAGGTAATATTAAAGCCAACGCAAATGTTAATTTGAGTCCTCAATGTCTTCAACAGCTGTTGCCGATGTGAACGAACGGGTAAACCCCAAATATAAAACTTCGATGTCCGCCGACCCACAAGAATTCATATTTGTAAAAAAGAGAGGGCGGGAATATAGATTACCCAAAACCTGGATATCGCCGCCAAAACGATCGGTGACAAGAACAATTAGCGATTACAACGGAATTAACCAGTAAAGGGCTTTGTTGTCGATTTTTCAATGTTTTCACCACGTTTATTCGGTACTCCTTAAAAATATTCGATTCAAAAAAATATTGAATTTTGCCCACCGTCCTCGCATATCAATGAGAAATAGTTGTGTAAATGTTGCAAAATTACGGAAAATGCCACTCCTTTCAACATTGTGATTACAATAAAATGGCACTTAATGGTATTTTGTGAATTTGGTGATTTTGCAAATCTGTGACATGCTGCTAAAAGTTTCGTCTGATTTGAAAATCGTGCAGTTTGGTCACAATTCATCGGAAGTGACTATAACACATAACACTTTTATAGTCATTTTGAATTCATCGATATCATTGATAGTCACATGACCACTCACTTCAAAGAAACGCACTGCACTGCCTATTATTCCAACATCTAGTTTCAATCACCCGGGAGCGTTTTTTGCGGGAGAAGCGGAATCGGTGTGCTTGTATAATAATCATATTATAAACAAGAATTTTGCCGTTAATGCAAAAGCTTTATCTCCTATGTCTGCATCTCATAGGTTAGAATTCCCGTAAATATCGTTATGATATGCAGATTTGAGTTACAAAAGTACTAGTATGTTACTTATTTGTCAACTTAATACTCGAAAATATTTGTTAACTTTAAAATTTTTATTCCATTCAAAATCGGAAAAAAGTGCTATTTCTCTTCAAAATCGGAAAAAAGTGCTATTTCGCAGTCCCTAAAAAAAGTTGCGAAAGTGCTTCGCAATTTTCGCAAAAAAGTGCGCTAATAGTGAACACTGCCCCAGAGACAACTTTCAAGTGTCCAGTGCGACCCCAGGTCAATATATAAGTTTTATAAGAAATTGTAGAGCTTCTTTCACTGGACTATTGAGTTTGGTCATGT